TTATATTATGCCTCGGAGTTTAAAAAATTCTCTTGTTTGAACAGATTTAATCTTAATGCCGGTATTTAATAATAGCATGTACATGTATTTTCTAACATGCAGTTAATTGCTCTATAACTCCGAGCCTGCTGGTAGCAACTTAGTTTACTTGTGTGACAAGTGCATCAGCCATCACATTCATAAATTTGTATTTGACAGTCTTGAGTATGAATATTTTGAAATTTCCCTAAAAATGATGATTATGGGTTTGTCCAGATTGAAAGATGGACAAGACTCAGTCCCTTTAAGATATAAAGCTTATAAGGGTTAATATGATAAGTTATCATATTTATGAATAATTTACAAATAAATTTAATAATAAAAAATAAAAAAAACCTTAAAATTTTCTATGTTAAAGACAATTTATTGATAAGTTTAATAATTAATTGTTAAAAACCTAGTAACATTTAATTTAAAGTAAAATAAATGTACATAGATTGGAATAAAACTGTAATAATACTTTAATTATAATTAATAATCAATATAATTTAAAAAAAAAATAAAGTAAAAGTTTGTTAGACTTGCAAATAACTGCACTTGCCAATGTGAAATGTATTTAAAATATATGACCTTTTAAACTAGGAAAAAACATCTTCATAAAACCACCAAAGTTGAAGGTCAAGTGCTATTTAGGCAAGGTGTTTGTTTAATACAGATGATGTCTTTCCATTTAGCATAGCAGGGGACCAAGATAGACACTGTAGGAGTAAAGAGACCATAGTTTTTCTGTGTAATTTTGCTGTATTGTCAACAGATGGTTTATCATTGCCAGTGTAATTCTGACTGGATTTTGACCAGAGATAAATGGTCTTTTATTAATTTGTATTTAATATTTAAAGTATTTACTCAATACTTTGTTTCATGAACTTAAAGCATGCAGGGGGTCGTAGTGGGTGCTTTCTTAAGTATTTCTTGATCGGTGACGATTAAAATATTTCCTTTTCAATATTTTCATGTGAAGTTAGATTATACGGGAGTACTTCTGTCAGGGGGATTTTAAAAATGAAATTTAGCAGCAGATAAATCAATTAAGTATTTGATGTTAAAAGTGTTTTAAAGGCTTAAATAATATTAAGTGTTTGTTAAGAAATTAGCTGTGAAATAACGAAAAAACTCATTCCTTAAATATGATATTAATTTCTTCTTAAACTTCATAATGCTATCATATAGGTTTTTAACCATATGGCAGTCTTGATAATTTAATGACAGTATCATTTCCATAATGTATTAGAATAAAAAAAATAATAGTATTAAAGTTCTATGATATATCAATATGGAATTTAATTATAATTTACAAGTTTTAAAATCTTTAAGTAATTATGCAGAATTTTGTATTAAAATGACATTTAAAAAATAGTTGTGAATCAAATTCAGTGTTATGAGAACTAAGATTTTTATCAGTGTTATAAAATTGCAGATTCTTGTGCTGCCATTGCATTCAAATTACCTATAATCGGCTTCCAGTGAAAGAAAAATGCAACAAATTAATGTTTAAAATATACCCCTCCTGGACCGTAGACTTCTTTAGATTGAATAAATAATCCGAGTTTAGTTATTGGCTGTTTATTGTATGTGATCCACTATATTTGCCCCCTGCAGACTGCCAGCGTAAAATAATTGGTAAACAGATTGGTAGTAAAGGTGGAAATCTTGCCATCTTTAAATAAGAATGTAAATGTTGGACCGACTGTAAGAAATAAATGGGATTACAAACAGCGTTTATCCCAGTCATTTGCCGTAGGGTAGTCTCTGTGTTCATTGCTTGTGGGATAAAAGTGGTTTTCTTACTTTGTTGTAGTGGGTAGATTTTAATCTCATTACAGGTCATTTTAGTCATCGATAATGGTGTCTTAAAGAAAATGAAGTGAAAATGGAGTTTGATTTATTTTCTTCTGATTTTGCTTGTAAAAAATTATGCTTCATTAAACTGTTTATTTGTCTTTGAACATACATGTTGAGATGCATTAAGTTATTGCTCCTGCACATTTCCATCCCCCAACCCCCCCAAAAAATAACTGAACCAAAAATCTTATAACTTAGTCCGGCAGTAATAATTATGCATGCATCTCTTCTAACAGTTGGTTGCGTAGCCCTGTCTATTTTATACCCTCATTAGAGTGGTTGACCATAAAATAATCATGAATGTTAGATACAGAGATTACCAGATATAAAATCTAAGCAAAGTGTTAAAAAAAATAAATGATATATAATATGCTGAAATTGCTGAACTTTTTTTAACATGAAGCAAAATTTATTACAAAAAAGCGCAGGTTATCAATGCTGTGAATGTTGCTGTGTATGAAGATGGGCTTCCTTTTGTAGTATTAATGTTTATTTAAGTGATATAGATTGATCGCCTCAGAAACAAAACGCGGGAAGTTTTGTGAATAAAATCGGGCGAAGGTCAATAATACACGCTATCTAGGGGGTCGCGTTTTTAATTGCTTTCCATACAAAGCTCGTCTTAGGTGGTGGTGGGCTACATCATTTTAACATTATTAGGACTTGAATACTTACGCCATTATCAATAATTCATGTCAAAAGATCATTGAAAATTGTCATTAAACAGTAATAGCCTTGTTATTATTATTTCACAACAGTGCTTCTGCTTTTTTTATCACTTCTTAATCTTTTATATGATTCAGTGTGCGTTACAGACGAGGACATTTTTTTGTATCATCCGTTTTCTAAATTAATTTGTCGATTATCATTGATTTTTAGCTCGACTATACGAAGTATATGGAGAGCTGTCCTACTCGCCCCGGCGTCGGCGTCCGCGTCCATATTTTAGATTAAAGTTTTGGTGCAGTAAAATATTTTTCACTATAACTTTGTCATTTCTTAAGGTATCAACTTCAAACTTCAAATAGATGTTCCTTATCATCAACCACATCTTATGTGACAAGGTTCATAACTCTAGCACCAATATTTTCAGATTTATCTCCCCTTGAACTTAGAATTTTCCTCAAAAAATACTATTTCTTACTGTTTCTTCTTTATTTCTTAAGGGATCAACCTCATACTTCAAATATATTTACGTTATCACCATCTCCATCTTATGTGACAAGGTTCATAACTCTAGCACCAATATTTTCAGATTTATCTCCCTTTGAACTTAGAATTTTCCATAAAAAATATTATTTTTTACTGTAACTTATTTATTTCTGAAGTGATCAACTTCATACTTCAATTATATTTACGTTATCATCATCCACATCTTATGTGACAAGGTTCATAACTCTAGCACCAATATTGCAAGAATTATCTCCCCATAAACTTAGATTTATTTACTAGAAAAATGTTATTTTTTATTTTAACTTTTTTATTTTTAAAGGTATCTACCTCAAACTTCAAATACTTATTCCTTATCATCAATTACATATTATGTGACAATGTTCATAACTCTTGAAGCAATATTTACAGATTTATCTTTTATTTACTTAGGATTTTCATTAAGAAATATAATAACTTCTTTATTTTTTAAGGTATCTACTTCAAACTTCAAATATATATTTCTTATCATTACACAAATGTTGTGTGGCAAGGTCCATAACTCTAGCATGACTATTTCTAGAATTATTCCCCTTGATCTTGGAATTTATGTTAACAAATGTTATTTTTTACTGTAACTTAATACATAATTATACATAATTGATTTTTCTTTCATAGTTTTGTCCTCCTTACTGCGTCCAGTATTTCATTAGTCGAGCTTCGCTGTCTCCTGTGACAGCTCTTGTTAATTAAAAGTTTAAGCAGTGAAAGAGTTATGGACCAAGAAAATGGTCTAAATTGCTTTACATGTAATAAATGTGAATTGATGTTGCATTAGCTTCAGTATTTTTCTTCATTAATTGGGAAAAGGCCTAATTGTCTTTATGGTTTTTAGAAAAAATTATCACTAAAATTGCTAATTTGGGATGTAATAAGCAGGTGTTAGGTCAGAAATTTGGGAAAACTGCATAATTTTAAAGAAAATTTCAATTGGGAAGAGACCTTTTAGTAGGCCTTTGTTATCTTAGGTGAAAAATGTCAGTGTGAAATGGCGATCTTCGTACAATTTCCGCAGGTCAAAGAATCATCTCTTATGATCAGATCTACATGAGAATTTTCCGTTCTCATTTTCATATTTTAAACATTAAACATTTTAGTGGGGAATTTGACAGTTTTATTTAAATTGAAAGGTACATAAGGAGGCAAAAATTGTTTAACAACTTGAGTAAATTTTAAGGATAAATCAACGCATGGGGTAAACTAACTTTTCACAGATAAAGTAGGGCTTTGGTACAAGATCTGTCAATTCCGTCTAATTTTTTGTGAAAATATTGAAAGAATTGATAAAAGTTGAAGTGCATAATGGGCGAATTTGTACTTTTCAAAGTAAAATCACCCTATAATGTTTTAATTATTTTGTAAGTATGCATTAAAGTTGAATTTCAAGAGTTTGCCGTGCACAATTTTTCCGAGTTGTATATTATTCTTATTGCCTACAATAATTTTTCTCTTTTGATATATGAAAACAATTTGAAGATACCGTTTGTTTTTCTTATATATACAATGTTAATTTTTCTGATATACATGTATACACAATAACAATTATAAATCAGATGTTGAACGTTAAGTCTCATGGTTAAAATTACTGTCAACAAAATTTTTAATTTTAGTTTTTGTTCCCCATGTATATTTTGATTGTCTGTATTTAAATGAGCATTTGTGAGAAAATGGGGTATCGTGTTAATGAACACAGTACTATGGTTACTCTTTGATCAATTAACTGTAATATTTTGCTCTGTTAAGGCAGAGTGTGACTCTTTTACTATTTTTTTGTTTTCAGGTGAATCAGAAAAAAAACTGATTAAAAAAAAATTTTTTTTAGCTATTTATAAGAAATAATTTGTAGAAGTGATTAAAAACATGATAATGAAGGATTATATTTAAAATATGGAATTTGCTTGTATTTTCAGGCTGGGTGGACCAGATCCATTAGACTACATCAGTATGTATGCAAACCCAGGAGATCCAGATAAAGGGGTTCCCCCGCATTGGCACTACATCAGCTTCGGCCTGTCAGATCTCCATGGTGATGGCAGAGTTCATGAGTAAGTAGAAAGCAATTTGTTGCTAGGAAACAACTTGGCATACTCAAACAGATTGAGCATTATATATAATCTGCTAAGTTAAATACCTCAAACTCTGTCCTTTTGTCTGTGTGTCTGTACTTCAAAATGTTCTCCATTTGTCTGTCTTTTTACATAAACTTACTCCATTAGTGAACCAAAAAGGTATTATTTTGTGTTTAATTTAAAAGGCGCAACTTTGTTATGTTTACTGAGGGATTTTACATAATAAAAGTCATGTTTTTTCTCACACATGGAAATGGGGAGGTTAGAGGTAATAGATACTGGGGTACAGATTAATTAAATGGTAATCTGGCATGATAATCCATCAGTGCTGCATTTAAGACTTAAAAAGACCGAAGTATGTTAATCCAGTCAGTAGGGGGGTTCGCAACTGTGTGTGCTATTTTAGTAAAGTTTTGTTTGTCAATATCAGAAACCGTTCTCTATTTAGAAATTCACAGACAGACGTTTTGCGTTAAGTAAAAAAAAGAGATTAGTTCAGATTTATTTGTTCCTTATAATATACTGAATAATTAAAATGTAAATAGCAGAATAATTATGTATGAAATTTTTATGATCGCACAGTAGAAAATAAAATAACTTTGTCAGACGAGGTAAATTTCGGTTTGAATTGGAAGTTACATGTATTTTAATGAGAGAAAAAAGTCTTTTTGGTAAACCGGTGTTGTTGTTGTTGTTGTTGATAATAATAAAGCTTAAGGGAGGAAAAAGTGTTTTTCATCATAATTTACCTAATTGCTTGATATTTTTCGTAAAGTTGTGATATAGTAATAATAACATCACAAAAATTGATAATGACATTGAAATTATTATTAATATAATAACATTTTGTGGTATAATATCATCTTTGAGTCAGAGATTAGTCTAATTATAGCAATGCCTTGATGTTGAATTAAACCAACTCCCTTCCCATTAGTTGTACATTATATAAATGTAGACTGTATACTGCAATATCATATAAAATTTGTTTTAAATTAAAGCGTAGTTAAGCAAATGGGTCATTAATTTGGTTGCTACATTTATGTTAAAATTCCACCACTCTTAGTAATGTATCCCACTATAAATGTATTGATGTATTTGATTTGATATTTTATCAGATCTGGGGTTTATAATGGGCTGCACACATATGTTAACTTTTAGGTTACTTTGTCTATTTGGCGTAAAAGTTTTAGTAACCGAAAAAAAGTTATATATTTTTAAAAGAGTCCCTTAATCATTTGCAGTATACTTGTGTTTTTGTGTTATATTTCTTAATTTCTGTTATTATACAATAATATGTTGTACTGGGTTTTTTTCTAAAGCCTACAGGTGCTTATGAAATAAGAAGTTGAAATTTCTTGTACTTTAGTTTTAAACTGGAAAGTTCTTTTTAGAAGTTTCTAAATTATAATGTCAGATATATTTCAAAATTAAGAATTTCATCAGTGTTCCAAATACAGTACTGATTTTTAAATGTCTTTCTTTTTCTCGCCAATACAATATTTTAGTCATCTCTGTGACATATTTAAAAAAAATAATTTCACATATTCCCCTGTCTTACTAAAATGTCAGATTGAAACTATGATTATAGGTTAGTGCTAAAGTGTTCTAATTTCAACACAATTATAAGTAATAGTTACAGTAGTTTGGCACTGAAGCTTGAAAGTAAGCACCTTGCGTAGAAATATGATAACTTGTTAATACTTTCTGTCAGTATTCTCAGACCTCCTTTGTTTGATCACAAAAAGAAGTCAGTTACCGTTAACTAAACTGTTACATTTGTAACTATGGACCATGGCAGAGTTTTTATTATTTACTTTTATGTTTTATACAGTGTACAATGTAAATAAATAATACCCCGTTGATTAAATCTATTATATATATATGTATTAAACGTAAAGGTGTCCATGCAGGATATTTTATCAGTACGTTTCTTACTCTTAAAATATAAAAGGGGAAAAAAGTATGACATTTATTAACCAGGTTTTCCGAAGGAAAAAACTGGTTATTAGATTGAGGCATGTCGGCGGGCGGATGGGCGGACGGGCGGGCGGGCGTGCGTAAACAATTTCTTCTGTGCGCAACTCCTCCTACATTTCTCAACGGATTTTGACCAAACTTTCACAGAAGCTTTGTCATCAAGTGCCCTGGCGCATATTGTCGGGGTTTTGCCATTGGATAATATTTGACCTAATTATGGCCCTTTGTTGTTTTTTCTTATATAGAATATATAGTGAACTATTTCTTCTGTGCGCAACTCCTCCATCATTTCTCAACAGATTTTGACCAAACTTTCACAGAAGCTTTGTCATCAAGTGCCCTGGCACATAATGTCGGGGTTTTGCGATTGGATAATATTTGACCTAATTATGGCCCTTTGTTTTATTTTCCTTATATAGAATATATAGTGAACAATTTCTTCTGTGCGCAACTCCTCCTACATTTCTCAAAGGATTTTGACCAAACTTTCACAGAAGCCATGTCATCAAGTGCCCTGGCACATATTGTCCAGGTTTTGTGATTGGATAATATTTGACCTAATTATGGCCCTTTGTTTTTTTTTCTTTATGTAGAATATATAGTGAACAATTTCTTCTGTGCGCAACTCCTCCTACATTTCTCAACGGATTTTAACCAAACTTTCTCAGAAGCTTTGTTATCAAGTGCCCTGGCACATATTATCGGGGTTTTGTGATTGGATAATATTTAACGTAATTATGGCCCTTTGTTTTTTTCCTTATACAGAATATATAGTGAACAATTTCTACCGTGCGCAACTTCTCCTACATTTCTCGATGGATTTTGACCAAACTTTCACAGAAGCTTTGTTATCAAGTGCCCTGGCGCATATTGTCGGGGTTTTGTGATTGGATAATATTTGACCTAATTATGCCCCTTTGTTTTTTTTTCCTCAATATATAGTGAACAAATTCTTCTGTGCTGAACTAGTCCTACATTTCTCAACAGATTTTGTTCAAACTTTCACAGAAGCCATGTCATCAAGTGCCCTGGCGCATATTGTAGAGGTTTTTTGATTGGATAATTTTTGACCTAATTATGGCCCTTTGTTTTTTTTCCTTATACAGAATATATTTTTTCCTTATACAGAATATATAGTGAACACTTCTTCTGTGGCAATTCCTCCTACATTATTCATGTTTTATATTGCACATAGTTACATTGTTTATTGCTTGTATTTGTATTTCAAATACAACATATTTATCTACAATGGAGATAATTGAAAACCTGGTTTCGTGGCATTGCCATGTTTCTTGTTTTATATAATGACCACCCCCCTGTTTGTATATATGTATTACAACACCCTATCTACGTACCCTTGTGAAGTGTCCTATATTTATTTTTGACTCATCTTTAGACATTTACCTTAAATTAATGATACTCGTACTGATTAAGAAACAATTTGCTTTATCATTATGAGACAATAGTTAAACAAAACGGCCATCTTGCTTTTTTGGACGGTCTCCAGTCTTCAGGGGGCTTGCGTAAATCGGTCTACTTAAAGACTGCAGCATTATCTTTACATATTAATTAGATATTACACTATCAATTTAATTTGTAGTCATTAATTTTTGAAGGCCGGAATGTATTATGCTTTGGGTATTGGACCTCCCTTGGTTCTTATTCAGTTTAACTTGTACTGAAGGGAACAGCTCTACTGAAGTAGACGTTGACATAAGATATTACCAGAATTTTTTAAAGTTTGATTCTTTTATTATAATATTTATTTAAATTTTTAATCTTGAAAAATTAGTTCTGTTTTAGAAATTTTACAGTTAGATAGAGACATCAGTGCATTATCTCCTTGAAATAACCATTTAATTATTGTACGATAAGTTAACTCATGGACTGTGTTTTTTGTTTTATTTATATATATATATATATATATCAGATTTTTTATGAATATAATTACCGTATCATAGAACTGATTAATATTGATATAAAGTTTTTAAATCTGATGAAAAGAAGATGATATAGAAAAGTTTATAAATGCCGTCTCTGTTAAAATCATACTGTTCTGTGTATCATATTTAAAGTTAAAGCTTGATAAAGTTTTAATATAAGCAAAATTACAATTAATCGTCTGTTTTGAAAAGGTAGAATAACTGATTAAGATTTGTGATACATAATGTATATAAGCGAGAAAGAATTTAGGAATTAATTGTATCAGTTAAAATAGATAAAGTTTTTGAATATATGGCTGCATTCCAAAAGGTAGGTATCGGAACAATAGGCAGTTGTCAACAATGAGAAATAGTGTCATACATACAGGAAAAAAATCTTTACTTCGAGAAATTAGAAACTTGTTGTGTAAAGAGATTTACTCAATGGAAAGATTAGAAAATGAAAACAATCGCCAATCGATTGAAATTCACGTATTGTTTGATTTTGACAAATTCTGGCATGGGTACAAAACACTGTCCCGGTATACAATCACAATATATAACGAGGCATTTAAATATCATGAAGTTGTTATAGCAATTTTACACCCAAGTATGATCATTGCTTAAGAATATTAGCGTAACACTATGTATGATCAATTTAGATTCATTTTCCATTAAGTTTTGGGCTGGTAATGTGAAACCAATCGAATGTGCCAAAATGTGTTTATTTCAATGAGGGGAAAAGTGCATACTGTTTTTTAGATCATTTAAATGGTTTGGTTATAAAAAAAAAAAATTTGAGGTCATGAAAATCATTGGCCATGTCAACTTATTGAACATTTTTGAAAGGGTGTGTTTGTTCCTGGTTAATTTTGTGAAAAATGTTGACCAAATTCGATACACTATATGAACAAAGTGACCCTGGCCTAGGTCAGTTTTAAAAGAATATAAAATTGTTTCCAATTAGGGTGAGGAACGAGACAAAATTCATGTTTTACATGTGTCAAAGAAACGTGACCTACATGTACTAATGCAATAGATTGTATGTTTGTTTCTTTCTTTTGGCTTTGTTTTAATTAAACATTAGTTTTGCAACTCATGCTTCCTCAAGTCCATTTAATCCTACATTTATGTATTGACCATTTATTACAGATGTCAAGGTACAGACGGACCAAGTGGTTTTGGTTTTGAGTTGACGTTCAGACTGAAACGCGAGCCCGGAGAGACCAATCCACCCACCTTGCCAGCCACGTAAATGCAAGCTCTCTCAAGATATGTCTTTCAAACAGGTAAACTAAGAAATGACATTCACCATGAAAATTATTTCCTATAAGTACAGATAGATTTTTGGTCTGATAGTTGTTAATTGTTCACAATGTAATTATATAGATTTTCATGTAACTAATGACATGCTACTTTTGAATGCTAGTGGTAATAATGATTTTGCAATGCAGTCTTACCTAACTCATTATTTGACTGTTGAATTAAGTATTTTTATATTGAAACCACTTTCAGTCCTTACAACGCTTAATATCTGAACTGTGTTAGTGCATCTTTCAATCTGGATAAAACTGTTCATCATTTTTAGGAAAAAATTGCAATTTATGTAATGACTGAATAGCAATCAGTACAGTGCACTGATCATATTCGTAGAATCTTATCTATTACTTCTTACAGTGGCCAATTAAAAGCTTTTAACTCGATGCAAATTCAATATACAATGAAGGCTACATGTACAGCACTTAAAATATAAGATGTTAATCTTACACATAAAGTACAACTACATGTATATTAAAATCTAATGTTGGTGATTTAACTTCACATTGCAGAGAACAAGGTATACGCTGGAGATCATGTACCATGGCATATTCCATTAGATGGTAGTGAGTCTCGCATACAGCATATGCTCATGGCGGAGGACCCTCAGCTGAACCCCATTACAACACCATTCGGACCGGTCTGCTTTGTACAGGTAATGCAAAATCATTATGAGCCTCGCCATGACAAAACCAACATAATGGGTTTGCGACCAACATGGATCCAGACCAGCCTGCGCATCCACACAGTCTGATCAGGATCCATGCTGTTCGCTTACAAACCTTATAACAAGTAGAGAAACTGATAGCAAACAGCATGGATCCTGATCAGACTGCGTGGATGCTTGTTGTGATGCGGCTCTTATTATTATTATTAGTGTGGCACAAATTTTCATCATTTTCATGGATACATTGTATGTCAATCTATGAATTTAAGATCCAATGAAAATTTTTTTTGTCTGCTGTACTATTACTTTATTTGCATTTTACTTTTTGTAAAAACAGACAAACGTCAATTTAAGATCTGCAACAATGGCCTTTTTGACAAAACCATGACATTTCATGCTCATCAAAATCAAGCGAATTCATAATTTAGGGATTTTTGCTTCATAAAACCATGAAAAAAGCTGCTTAACAGGATGTTTATGATTTTATTAAATATTTAACATTCATTCAAGAACATTGAAGATAAATTTATTTTAAATCATTATAGATATAACAAGGTGTTCGAGGCCAGGTGGTTTAGGTTGTTGATTTCAAACCACTTGACCCTCGCCTCCATGTGTTTGAATTCAGCCAGAGACTGGATTCTTTCATGTGAAGAATCTATCCAGCTAGCTTATATAATGTCAGTGGTTCTACTAAGGTGCCTGTTCATGCATGAAGTAATGCGTTCTTCCTCCACCATTTAGAAAAGTTGCCTTTTGACCTCTACTGTTTTGGTGCGATGAAAAACACAATATACACTTAAAATGCATTGTTTTCTTCCTTTTGCTCGGCTAGATTAAGTGTTTCGATATACATTTTTTTATAAAAACATCTTGTTTTCACTCCAGATTGTCGGAGTTTGCACGGAGGAACTACGTGCTGCTCAGCATTGGAATGGACCAGGAGTTATTGAACTTTTGCGTTCAATATCTTCGTAAGTGTTTATTTGATTTACGGTTCTTTTTATAAAATTTTATTCTTTTGCTAGGTCTGTTTTATGTAATCATTAAGAGGCACAGAAGAAAAATATACTTATAGTAATGCAACTTTTAACTTAAAAAAAAAAAAATAGATTTTCCATTGTGTGTTTTAATCATTTATTTGTAACCTGGCTTTTTTCTTGCAGGAAATACTAAACTATTTTTGTGGAATTTTAATTGTTGGGATGGTGTTTTGGTTCTTTGTATTTTTGTTAAAAATATCAATCCCTTTAACAGTACTGTATAACAAGATTGTTGATGTGTTTCTTGTTCTAACAGAGCTGGTGGTCCTTGGCTGATCACTGACATGAGGAGAGGTGAGTCTCAGTTTGAACTACAAGAGAAAGTGGATCAGGGAATTGAAACGGAAGGTTCGAATTTGAGTGGCGTTAACAGCAAATGCTCATGGGAAGAGCCTGGGGAGAATGATCGTGATAATTTATATGACAAGGATGGGTTCGATGATGATGAAGATGATGCAGAGAGAGGACACCTTTCAATATTAGGTATAATTAACAGATACAGATAGTTACATAAACATGTAGTTGAACTTTGTCATTCTAATAACGACCTTTAAGTCCAGTCATATATGCTTTCCCTGAAAATGAAGGTTTTTTTTCCCCTTTGTCGGAGTATTTTCATTATGATATGTTTTTCTATATTGACTGTTTCAGAATTTAGTCTAAATAATTATTTTTCAAAAACACAGCTTTTTAATATTGAATTATCATATAAGGATAATTTATTATCATAATAGTTCCTGTAAAAGGGCTTACATTTGTAATAATTAATAGGGGATTCTTTTTCTAGCCCTTTTTTACTGAACTTCATTGAAACATCAGATGACATCTTTGTTGACTTTTAATCTGTTGCTATTCAGTAGTGTTTAGATTCTTTCTAATGATATTGAATACAGGTACATGGTTTGTGTTGGGGGGGGGGGGGTTCTTATTATAACAAATGAAAAGTGGAAGTTAAAAAATTCTTTAAAAAAAGGAAAAAAAATGTCCTCAAAATTAAACGACTAAAGGTCATGATCACAAGATTTGTTTGGAAAACAATGCCAACTGATATTATCCAAGGAGCGAGTATAATCATAAGTGTTAATGATTTGTACCCCTGCAAATACGATTGACGTCAATCTGGGGAGGTCTTGTTAGCACTGTTGCAAGGATTCTGAACAGATGTTGTATAAACCGGAACTTTGTTTCTGTTTGGTATTCAAGATTGACTAGAAATTGGATAAAATTATCTCCTGGGTTTTAAAAAAACAGACCAACTGGAGAATCTTGAGAGATTTTGCCCACCAAAGGTCTTGTAAAACATTTTCTAATTAACAAAGTGTTCGTTTATTTCTCTGCAGTGATTTTTAAGCCCCCATGCATCCAACCTTTTGATAATTTTAAGAATGATTCAGAATATGTCCCAAATTTTAGATAAATAGTATATCTTATGGCCTTTCCTAATTCATTAAAATAATGAAAATATGTGGAAATGGACCATATAGAAATACGGCAAAAAAGATTGAGGTTAAAGAGAAATTGTACATATGAGACATGGGATTGACAATACTAAAATATATTTCTTTAACTACTAATATGCATGTATTCTTCTGAATTTTTTAAACAGTTCATCAAAATTAACCCTTACCACTCTATCCATTTATCATTTTACGACAAAATTTCAAAAATTTATTTTGAATGAGTAGTAAACGATGCAGACCATATGTTTAGACAGTATGGCTTAATTTATTATTCAATTTTTGTTAACTTTATTTTATTCAAAATATTCTTTATTAAGTGTTGTATTTAAGATTCAATCAAATTATCGGCTCATGATTAAACCAGTCTTTTTTATTAAATTTGTAAAAATAATAATGTTTAAATTGTTTGGTTATTATAGAGTCAGAGCAGATAAAAGCAACATTGTCAAGAGGCCTACATTCTGATCTACGGCCAAATATTGCAGATTTCAAGTGAGTTTTATAGATAGTTTCTCTCCTTTTTTCACAATAAAATTTCCTCTTTAATTCATTAAAATAGTATAATTAGTTATAAAGATAATAAGGAAATGAAATTTTTGGCAAAGTATGATAGAAGTTAACAGGATGTTTTGATGTTTTTTAGTCGACCTCGATCAAGGAAAAATTCATTTGACAGTACGGAGAGTTCAGATGCACCGACTGAGTTGTTACGGACAAGAACGCTCGAATACGTACACCTTAAATTTAATCTGGAAGCTGCTTCTTTACTGCCGTTGGCATTGAGGTAAGACATGTTAATGGAAGCTATAGAACTATTTTGTACAAGTTAAGAAATAAAAAGTTATCAGAGTTGTTAATTGTTTAGCTGACCAAATTATAGTTTTTGATATTGAAGATTTTTTATGGAAATCGAAGTTATGGTAATATTTTTGGCTCTTAAGGTATATTCTCATTCATAATGATATTATTCAATATTATAAGCTTATCAGTAATAAATTGAAGTATTTTGGCTCATCTGAAGGCATGAAGCTTTTACAAAAAGATCGAATATTCATCTTTGAAAAAAAAAGAAAATATGTTTCCAAAGCATTATGATAAACTTGAAGTTTCAAAACTGTAATTTTTATTTACAGAGGAAGGTTGCGGCATGGGCGACATTTTACATTTATGAGTGCGACAAATGATTCTGCAATTACCCTTGTTTCTCCGAGCGTAAACGGCTCCATAGCGGACGAGGAGCACCCATTCGCAGCACATGGTCTGTGGTTGCAAGTTTTACTGGCAGATGATTTCATTGAAGAAATGTGTATAGACCTACAAGAGTTATCAAATCCTGATGATGTATGTATTATTATGATACTAGTACATGTTTTAAACAATGATTGAAAAAGAACTTTATTATAAATTAGTATAACGTCCAACAAAGTGTCTTATTGAGCAGTTTTACGTTTATATCATCAGCTCTTGAAATTTCATTTTAGATCAACTATTCCAAGAAAAGAGCTTTTGAACTCTGCTTGGCTTCGGCAGCATACTTAGGTTAAGTTTTTGCGTGGAAGTTGATATCTCCAAAATCCACTGAAAGGACTGGATTGAAACTTCACACACTTATTTGAGAGAGTAATAGGAGGTTACTGCCCAAGGCATGGATTTTGACAAAATCATAGTCCTTTTTTCACTTGAAAATTCTATATTATCCAGGCTAGCTCTTTTCATTGAAAATAGTTGAGCCTGCTGTCCTACTGATACATCGTGTTAAGTTTTCAGATTCTGCCTAACTTTGAAATTGCTTAGGCTAAGGCTGAAATATTCATTATTAGTAAAAAAAAAATCATTTTCTTTTCAGTTACTTCTACCTAAAACGTACAGATGGCCTGAGAGACGACTGTGTATCACCATCCTGTCTGATGAGGCATAGTAAAGAGCTGAGATTGGTCAAAACTTGACGTATTGTTGGTCGAGAAAAACACCCTTCAATTCTTGTGTTGATACGGTTTCTTAGAAAAAAAATTATTTTGATATTAAAAAAAAGAAAAGAAAAATAACTATGAAATAGTTGATGAGGATTCAGTTGATGTTTTAAACAGAAGTGTTTCTGGGAAGAAAGAAAAAACTTTTAGAAATGTATGATTTCTTACTAAAAAAATTTCAAGTTCTAAGGTAAAAAAACAACAGCATATTTTGCCATGGTGTTCATAATGTGATATAAAGTGATATCTTCAAAATAAAAAGAAAACAGATGGATTTACTTTACAAGAAAGAAGACTTACACTGCTAGGACAGATTGTGTTGTATCACAGGGAATTATGGGAGTTTTGAAACGATGAAATCTAGTCAGATTTGAACATTATTATTAGATTAATTTTTAAAACTTGCAATCTGTGTGTGTTTTTATTATGCTCTTTTATATATAGAACTGTGGATTTGCCTTTACAGTGAAAAAAAATGTTTTATAACTTGGTACCAATAAAAATAGAAGTGCTGAATACTGGGACTGTAATATGAAAAGGAAATAATTTCTGATTTTTCTGGTGTTAAATTGTTGTTGACAGCAGTTGTTATAGGCATTGATCATTTTATTCATTCATTTTGTAAATTAGCTCATATTTTCCCATACAGAAGAGAAATGGAATAACAATGTGGATATATGATTTAAAAAGTGATCATTATTTCAAGAAATGTTCAACAACATATGTCTATCTCTTGTTAGGAAATTTATTTTTCTTTATAACTGACCTCTGTGGTTTAAGATAAGATCTTTTGATGCCCTTTTTTTATGACAAAAATCTTTTGTATTTGCTTTGTATATTTTTTTCCCTGTATTAATAGACCCTCTACTGATACATAAATTGTCTTTAAAAGTTATTTTTTGATTATAATTAAAAACATATAATGCAAATTTTAACTGTGAAAGAGTATGGGACAAAATCCAGCCCTATAATATTAGTGAAATTGACAAGTAAAAACAAGGGAGGTACTTTTCAACATGATAGTGTTAGCGACAAGGGAGATAATTTTTCTGCCGCTGTTTCATTCTGGCAATATACTCAAGTAATGAAACATATATTTTAAGAGAATCAAATCCACACTAAAGAGATTTAATTCATTATATTTTAACACTATATGTATCTTTAGGATAAAATGATAGTGTTGTTTTTGTTTGTTTTTTTCTTTCTCACTGAACAGGTGAAAATGTCTTAAAAGAGTGCTTTGACTTCTTTTTGCTTTTACAAACCCTTTAGTTTGTATAAGTTATTTTTGTACCATTTTATTTATGTTAACTTTTGTGCATATTATTGTAATTTTATACTGTACATAATGTATGTATTTTTTTATAAAAAGTAAATGCTATGATTACACATCAAGCACATGTCATTTTGAAAGAGAAAAAACACTTTTTTTAAATTTTTTTATTAAAGTGTGCCTTATATTTAATGATACACAAGATGTTTTTTTTTAATATATCAACAAATTTTTATTTTACCAGTAAATTGGTGAACATTGACTAATTTATACTTTAATTATTTTTTCAGGCATAAGTTTAATACCAGGACTCTTACTGTACAAAGTTTTTAATTCATGTAGTTTTCTCTGTAACTATTTAGAAAAAAAAATGATTATTTTGATATTCATGAAAATTAAGTTTTGAATATTCATGAAAATTAAGTTTTGAATATTCATTAATATTAAATTTTGAATATTCATTGAAATTAAGTCACCTGTATGTTTTTAATGAATGCAAGTTATTATGAATGTTTTTTATATTGCAGAACATTTAAATATTTATATACCCAGCATGTTAATGATGAATATTCTATCCAAATTTTTTCTTCTTTGCCTGCGCATTCCTCAAGTTTTTTGTTTTTTTTGGAGAATAACAAAAAGACATGTTCATGATTGTTTTTATCATAGAATTTTTACTAGTGGTCACTTCCAACAGTAACCACATATCTTAAATGTCTTAATGAAGTGTGCTTTGTTTTTTCCTCTTACAACTCTGTACTCAAACTTTTCTGAGTATGACTTTTTTTTTATTTCTAAACGTTCTTTTATACTCACTGACTTAGTTCTTATTCTAGAACTGTCTATAGGTTTGCTTTTAATTTTTCTATATTCTATATTACTGTTCGAACTGGTTGTAAGTTTTGAAAAGGCCTACATGATTCACTTGTTCACGAAAATGTTATTTGTTTGAAGACAATTACTTTATAATTATTTAGCCCCTATTTTGTGAATAATGAGACGTGTGAAGGAAATTTAAGGCTTAATTTAATAGTCAAACATCGAAGCATCAATGGCAAATGTTTTCTGTTATTTAATAAAAATCTAAATAGCATCGATGAACAAAATTATCAAACGCTGTGTATAAATACTCTTAATAGTTAAAATGTTCTAAATTTTACCATATCCACAAAATATACTAGACAATATTGGTAATTTTTTGTCCTATATTGTCATCAAGTTTGACTGAAGTAAATGAATTAAACAAGGCTTTGTGTGTAGTGCCTTTTCAAGTGACATAGTCTATTCTTAGACTTAACATTTCAAATATATCTGTATCTTACTTTGATTTTCTGCTGTGCTTTTCACTAACAAAAAATAATTTTCGTTTAATTTCGTTATAGTTCAATCTTGAGATTCAATCAGGATTGAATAGAATATTTTTAAAGGAGAAGAGATGTATGGGATTTCATTGGTTGGTTTTATGGAGAAATTTTAAGAGAGAGAAAAAAAGTTTTTAAAATTTTATCTTATATTCTGCTAAGTACATGTAGAACAGTTTCAAAGGAAGGAAAACTGATGTATTAGAAGGCTAAAAATAATTTAATTTTATTTACAGTGAAGAAATATACAATCCTCAAACTCTTCTCCTTTTTCCTAGTTTGGCTACTTTTGCCTGCTTTGGCCTCTTTGGTCTTGTTTGTTTTCTTTTGTCTTAATGAGAAAGACATCAGCAACATGAGGACAGTGTGTGGTTTGGTTACTGAGTTTACACGTCCCGAAAAAAAAGAAAACTGACATGTGTTTTAAATATATCGACTTAATCTGTCTAAAGTCTTACTGTTTCCTAATTTACTTCTTTTTATAAATATATATGTAATACAGTATTTGTTATGTGAAATGTTACTTAAAAATGTTGCCGTGTTCTCAAAGTTGATTAATTATGACTTATTAATCATGTATTATAAGCATAAAATAGATGTAAGAAGATAATGTTCAATTTGTTATGTTGCATAACTTGGAAATAAAAAAAAAATGATTTGAATACTTAATAATAAATGATTTGGAAAAGATCATGTTTTTGATGTTATGAAACTATGTTTTTGTTATCTGTCTATATGTATGTTAACTATGAATGTTAACTATGTATGTTAACTATGAATGTTAACTATTTTGATGGAATAAGGATTTTTTACCTGGCTGTTAATGAACAAAATTTGTTATCGGTTCTTTTCAATATTTTATTAGTAATAACCAGCATTCAGAACACGTCTGATAATTATTGCCATTGTGTGTGGGGGATTATTATTAGCAACTATGTTAGATCAAATACCAGTTTTATCAGGATCACAGTAAAAATTTCCTTCATGCTGATACATAATAGGTGTTCTTGCTTCTTTTACAAATAACATACCTGAGTTTGTCCCAAAGTAGCCTGTCCTTTAAAATAATTTAAAGCAATGCTGGATAAATGGTTACAGACATATTCTTGTCAAATAAATCTTCTTTAGTAAGATAACCATGTGCAATGTACATAGGGCTTAACTTGCATCTGAGTTCTAATTATGATACACAGTTAATTAATAGTGCACATTAGTTATGTCAGAAAATTATGACTTACAATACATATACCATATGTTTTCTGTCCTGATTTATGCAGGGGTTTGTATTAATGTTAGAATTCTTATGTTGATTTTCTTTTTGTTACATTTTAATGTCAAATTTTAGTTGGTTAAGTTAAAGCAGCTGGATTTGTTTAAATTTCTTACACTAGTTGTTAATGTTTACTCTATTTTTGAATTTGAAATGTTATTTTTATGTCATCTTTTACAATTTTTTGTATTTAAATGGCTGTTGCTTAAATAGAGTTGGTTTTTTTTAATGAAAAAGCTATTTAAAGTTACAGACAATTGGAAGTTTGCCAGTAAAATTGTTTTGATATTTATTGAACAAGGAATTGAATTTCAGTTTAATTGAAAATGTTTTAAAAGAAATCTGTTGAAAATGATTATTAAGAATAGAGAGGTTTCTATTTTTAGATATATACTTTTTGAAGCACAATACAAATTTAATTTCAAGTCTGAAATTCGAAATAAAAGCATTGAATGTGTGTATGTATAAATGTCTGTTGAATTTATGTCCCATATTCATTATATTACAAAAATGTCATAACAAAGCCTCCGATCGGTTTTGAAATTTGAATGTGGAGGAACATTGTAGAAAATTTCTTCATGACTCAGATATATTTCAATTTAAAAAATCATTTTTTTGATATGTACTTTTAGATTTTACAAATTATATTAGTCCTTTTTGTATAGATTTTAAAGAAAAAAGTTGAGAAAATTTTTTTAGATAAAAATATTGTTGCAATTTTGATAATGAATTACGATAAAGAAAACTGTAACATTTTAAATCATTGTACATGCATATTGTTTGTTTTTGTCTTGTTTTTTTTCAACACTAAGTGTTGACATGCAACTTCATATCTCAATAAAAAATATCTGAAACAGCATTTACTTCTTGTTATTTCGTTTGCTTGAATTTGGTTGTCCAAGAAATGAATTGGTTGTCAAAGAAAATGGTACAGTGAATTGGTTGTCCCAAGAAAAAGGAAAAGTGAACTGGTTGTCAAAGAAAATGATACAGTGAATTGGTTGTCGAAGAAAATGATACAGTGAATTGGTTGTCGAAGAAAATGATACAGTGAATTGGTTGTCCCAAGAAAATGATACAGTGAATTGGTTGTCCCAAGAAAATAATACAGTGAATTTGTTGTCCAAGAAAATGGTACAGCTAATTGGTTATGAATGTATGTGACTGTTATAGCATCCTGGCGAGTGGTTAGGTCGTTAACATTCAACCACTGCCCCTCCACTGCTGTGGTATCGATCCTTGACCTTGATTCTTCATTGTGCTTTAGGCAGTATCCGCTAGTTCGGAACGTCCGGGTGGGGCTTCTACTTCCGGTGCCGTTCGTGTCAGTAATGCACGGAAGAGCACCTGAGGTCTTCCTCCATCGGTAAAGCTGGAACGTCGCTATATGACCTATACTGTGTCGGTGTGATGTAAAACCCAATCAAACAAGCAAAAGTATGTGACTGTTAATCTACTATCCAAGAATTCGATGACTGATTATCCGTATAATCAGTTATTGAATTTCCAAGTACATGTAAATGTTAATAGGTCATCTCTGGTTATCAATGACAAGATGTAAAGGGAATCTGGTTACCAACAGAATGGATGGAATACTGGGAGATTGTGGGAACTGTTGAAAAACCAACTTGTCCTCTGGATAAACCAAGTCACCTGTCACTGGGCGTCAGTTTGTTTTAGGTGAAGAAAGCTGAAAAGTGACCAAAAAACAAAAGTAATACTAAAGTAATACGTTGGACAAAAAGTAAATATTGTATATGTTGTTAGATTTACGAAAACATCAGAAAGACACTTCGAGTTTCTATCATTTGATGGAATCAACCATTTTCAAACAAAACAAAAACTGGGATGTGTATACGAATTTTGACAAATTGGTGAAATTGCCTGTCTTGGTTATTACTAGTATTTAAAATTAGCAAACCAGTCGTGTCTATATAACAAGATAACCATGCCTCAGTTATGATCCAGTACCTTATGGTCTTGAAGTGCTTTAAATCATACCAAAAATAAACATCTTAATCTTTAAATGTTACTGAATCTTCATGCTATTTTGAATCAAAACACTATTCAATGGCTGATAAAGTGCTACCTTAAGTTTGTTTATCATATTGTATCTGTATATAGTATATCCCCATGTTGTATTGCCATGTACCCTGGGAAAGAAATAAAGGAACTGTTCTGTTCTGTACACAACACTTTTAATTGATTAAATAATAAATTAATAATTAAATGATTAATTAATAATTTATTTAATGCTTTAATTAATATTTTAATAAGATAATTATTTATTTATCTATTACGTTAGTTTATATGTCAGTCTTTGTCTAAATATAAACAAAGTCAAAAATAGCGTTGTCAAAGAACACGGATTTGTTGGATTTATTCAATGAAATAAATGTTTTCGTTCATCGAAATATTTCTAAAGTGCCTTTATAAATCATTAACTCAAAACTTTCGATTGACAAAATTTCACTTACATCATCATCATCACAGAAAGATAGGAAAAATATTTAAAATAATAAGGCTTGTGATATAAGCATTAAACCGTCTTATGTTTCAAAGAAATACTTTTAAAATTAAAATGCAACTAAACAATTGCACGAATTTTACTTTATTCCAGATAATGTCAGAGCAATGACTTGGCAACTTATATTTTTCACAATTACAAAATGCCATGACTTTGTCAAGCTATATAACTTGTGTTTACAATGTTTTGGCAATTTTTCTGTCCATAACTGAGTGAATGGGTAAACATTTTTTTAAATATTGCTACTGACAAGAATCTAGGCCGGGGGCGTTTGTGTTTAACAAACACATTCTTGTTTATTTTATTTATTCATTTATTTATTTTTTTTGGGGGGGGGGGGTGACTATCATGTAAGTATTTTCTGTTGTTTCTTTTCTGACAGTATGTCAGACAATATTCAAGTAGAGATATATTTTCAGCATCTCCGACGAACAATAACTTTGTTCTTGGAAATGGCCATCCAATTTATATTGTACAGTAGTACTCGTCTAGAACATCTATAGCCGTCTATGTCGGCGTCACACATTGGTGAAATATTGGCCTGCATGATGGTATCTCCAAAACTTGAACGGCTTGAAATTCCACAAACTAATTTGAGTGCATAATAGGTTCTTATTTTCGAACCAAAAACTGACTGAGAATAGTCGAGCACGTAGCTCTTGTAAATATATTTGTAACATAATTTAAATAATGTTCTCTTCAGGAAAACTTATTCTATAGTCACTGGTACTGTAAATAATGATAATAACAATATTCAAGGGCTATGCCATGAAGTACTATGCAGAGCTACCAACTTCTTCTTCTGGGCCTACTTATTTCTAGAGTAATGGCTAGCAATCATTTACTTCACATCATGGGCATGCATGTAAGAAAAATGATGCAATGAAGTGTGCCCGAGACGACCGTGTAGCAGATGGACCTTAAAAAGGTAACAAAAATATTAAGAAAGTATTTTCTATTTTTAATTTCTGCATATCATATGTGTTTAGATTACTTTTAAATAAATCGATTCCACCTATTCTTTGTAAATCTGTCTTTATTATTTCTTTCCACAATCCATGGTTATTTTCATCAAAATATTCTTTGATCCTACTTGATTAATCGAGTTAATGAAAATTAGCAAGTCTATCATATTTAATCCTCCATATTGTCTTGAAATATTATATCCCTTTTAACTTTCACGGTGTCATAGGTATACGCATCATTTTTCTGCGTACCGTCGATAATCCTGCGCGCAAGTACCGTATCATTCTTACGTAATCTTCTGAAAAGTGCAAGAGGTAAATTCAAAAATGAAAAAAATTCTTAATAATATTGATTTTATTTAGAGAGTTTGCATACACCACGGAAGTTTTGAATGATTCATCTATGTGTGCAAAACCATTTGCAACCCTATTCGGCTGTTATAACCAGAAACTAATGAAAACACTTTTATACACGTGAAACATTTGTGTTGAGCATGATGCGAACATTTTTCATCCTTTTCCGAAAATAAAGTTGTCGGAAGAAGTATCAGATGTCAAATGATCACAAAAACGTTGACACGAGCTGATAAACATACCAATTTTACACAAATAATGCAAAAATAATGTTGTAAAATCAAGAAAACTTTGATAAACATGGTATAATCGCATCATGCAGAACCATGGCACCGCTTCTTTTTACGCGTATTACTGCATACATGTATTTTAAAATGTGTTTAACTGTGTGTTGTTTTTTTTGTTTGTTTGTTGTTTTTTTTGGAAGAGGGAGGGGGGGTATATTTATTTATTTATTGTAGGAGATTGACAAGAAATGTAGATGTTGGATATCGGTGTAGGTAAGCGAGCACGTGATT